GATGCACCGCTGCGTGCACCGGCGGCGCGTGATTGGCGAGATATGCCGCAAGGAACTCGTAGTGACACAGGGCTCCACCCGACTCAGCATGGACTCGATCCAGGTCCCATTACGGTATGTTATCGACGTGTTATGTATTCGGGGTTAATGTGATAGGTAGTGCAGGTTTGTTACCGCATGTCATTACTATATATGTATATATAATAATTCAGGTCTGTTACCACATGCCATTTGTATATATGTGTATCTAATAATACAGATCTTGTGCGGGTGTGCAGGGGGATGCACGGCCTCCTAATAGCCCACGGGGAGAACCGCAAGACACCCTTAGTGGCCAACGGGCACGGCTGGATCACCACACACCCGATCATAGTGCCGATATGGTATGGCAACTTAACTAGTGCAGTTTGTTTATTCCAGTGTCTATTATTTATTTTTATTGCTTGCTGGTGGTGGAGGTCATGGGAATAGTGTAAAAAAACAGAATACTAGTTACTCAAAATAATCAAGATACTCTAATTGCAAAAAAAAAAAATAATAATAATAATAACTGAAGATAATCGAGATGCTAGGTAGTGAGGTAGCAACTTAACTAGTGCATTTTTTGTGTTATTCCAGTGTATTAAAATAAAAAAGATTACTAGCGGTGTTGTGCTGTGATTTATCTATTATTAAGTTTTTCTAGCTAGTTATATATTTAGGTTGTGTTTAAACAGGTATCTACAGTTTCTGTTCATGGCATTATTATATATGTATGTCTGACTCAGGACCTGCAGGGGGATGCACCGCCTAATAATAGTCCACGAGGAGAACCGCAGGTCACTCGGGTTGGCCACACGCCACGGCCAGTTCACCACGGGCCCGGGCCTAGTGCTATTACGGTAAAGCAGTGTATTTGTGCATTGTAATACTATTTCGTACTGCCTAAATTATAGGTTTATTTAATTTGATTGTGGTGTGTATATCTAGTTAGATATGTAGGTGGTGGCTAAGTAGTTTATATACACTTTCTGCTCATGGAATTATTATATATGTATGTCTAATTCAGGACATGCAGGAGGATGCACCGCCTAATAATAGTGCACGGGGAGAACCGCAGGACACTCGGATTGGCCAAGGGCCACGGCCGGTTACGGTATGGCAGCTCATAGAAAATGTGTGCACAAACCACGCAGAATAGCCTGTTTGTGCATTGTAATACTGGTTCATACTGTAATAGTCCTGATTTCTTATTAAGTATGCACATCTGTTATGTGCCCGGTCAGATTTGAGTGCCCGGGCAGATTATTTTACCTTATCCCTGTGCTTATTATACAGGAGGTTGTTTAAATTTTAGTTTTATTTAATTTTATTCGTATAGGAGTTGTGTGGTTCATTTTTTTTCCTTTGGATCATTTATAGGGGGATGCACGGCAAGTACCACAAGCTACTCGGGTTGAACAACGCCCACGCGTTCCTAGACCCATTACAGTATGCCAAAATAAACTGGTGCACTAGGTTATACAATGTGCACGAGTGTCTGTAACAAAATTGATTTAACTGCAGGTTGATGCACTGGTCCATGCGTCGGCGGCACGTGCTAGGAACCCCCCTGCACGAGTAGTAGACGGGGCTACACGAACAGTGCACAACGCCACCACTACAAGTTCTACCGGGGTATGCATATTGTTTCCTTACTATTGCACCGGTTGACGTTGCTATATTGTTTCTTTTCTAACCAACCGCTTGCCTGTAGGGGTTCCACCAAGAATTCGCAGCCATGACTAGGGACCTGCTAGCGATAGCCACACGGGTTGCAGAAACAATAAGGAAAAATCAAACACTAGCTTTCGAGGACTGAAATTTCCCGAGGATTGCCAACATGGGTAATCTGTTATTAAGCTGGGCACGTAAAGGGACACCACAAACCGGCCCACAGCCACCTCAACCACGAACCGGCCCACAGCCACCTCAACCACAAACCGGCCCACAACCACCTCAACCACAAACTGTGACGACTGGCCATCTAGACGACAACCTTTGCTAAGACTCGCAATTCTTAAGGGAGCTAGACCGGGTGGAGGAGGAAGTAAGGCGAGCGATAATATCAATGCAGGCACAACAGGTTGCAACGCAGGACACAGGGGACTTTGAGGCACCAACATTTAGTCTAGGGTTGACTCAGGAGTTCGCAACCACGAGGGCAGACGGCAACACGCTAGGGCCGTCAACTGTACACACGCCAACTCAGCAGGTGAGGGGTATTAATAGGTACAGCCATGTGAATTACGCGCGATTTGCATGGTATTTTCTAACTTCTAGGTGCAGGTACCCATGCAGGCGCAACCGGGAGGGGGGTCAACAGCACAGCCCGTATCCCTAGGGGTGAGAGCAGGCCCGGATCGTCAGCCAAGGACCACTATTGGGGCGGCAGACCAACATTTTGGCATGTTTTTAAGCACCAGCAATGGGTACCCTAACATACTCTTACCGCCAGTGTATGTCGTTTGGATGTGGCTGTTCAACTCCCCACACGGTCATCGGTAAGTTGCATGGATGTCACGTGCGAATATATACAAGCCTGCGTTGGCTCCGTCATTTTGTCTTAAAAAACAGTAAAAATACAGGAATGAAGTTCTATTCCGCGATGCCACACGCACAGTCAGATGGTATCAATTTTTAACATTAAAGGCAAGGACGGATGTTGGGAAACCAGTGGTAGATGCATGGTGCTCGGTGCTCAATGCAAGGGAGCAGCCGGGGGGTCGGGACATGCCTTCTCGACTGTTTGTGTCAGCGTCGGCGACGGTAGTGTGGATCATGCAATTTAATTTACATTCTTCACAAAACAGTCAACACATAATGATACACTGTATACAATTAACAAGAGTATATTCTTCGTAGTGCACCCATTCAACACCGCACTGTGCACAAACAAACACACTTAGCATCTTGGGGTTTATATATATCTACTAACTAGTATTGGTGCAGATTGGGACGGTGGTGAATTGCAGCCAGGCGTGATCAAAGGGTAATGTGGTTTCAACGGCGTCTTGATGCTGAATTCCAAACAACTCACCATGTGGGGACAGCCACATTGGACATGGTAAGACGCCGGTCGTGTTCCGAATAGGCAATCCAATCGGCTACGCATAGCGGACAGCGTAGGCTAACCCCTATTATTTGTGTTTTGCAGTATTTCTTCCCCATATTCCACGAGGCACGATTCTACGTGATGTGCGTAAGTTTTAAGCATAATGAGTTTGTCATCATAGACAGCTCACCGACGACTAGCGTGGGGACAGAGATGTACGGCGCTGCTCCAAATGAGTTGGTAAACATCATGCACCCTCAACACTTAATACTATTGGTTAAGTATACTCGCACACCTGCTGAACTAATCTTTTGTTTCCAGAGGGACCTCCTCGCCGCATACCTAGATAATAACCAGCACACTGTACGGGCTCTGCGGTTGAGAAACATGCAGCCCGAGAGGATGAGGTTGGCGTGGTCAGACAACCCTACCAACGGTGACTCGGGAGTATACAAAATGAGACATATGGAAGATTTTGTTGGTCAAGATCCCAGATATTGGCATTGTGGGTTGGGGACGGGGGATGCCGCAGTGATTGAAAATATGCGGACGAGGTTTCTGCATAACATCTTACTATGTACAGTCAATGCCAACATCGATGATATCCGCACACGGGCAGTGGAGTATGACCGCCATAGGGCCGAACAACTAACAAAAGGAGCACCACAATGAAAGACTCGGGTATGAGGTAGTGGCTGCTTAGATCTATTTAGGTTAGTGCACAGCCTGAGCTAAGTATTGGCTGTTTAATTTTGTTTAGTTTGGTGCGCAACACTAGTCTTCATATTGGGTATATATACTTTTCGAGGCTGCAATAAAAATTTCTTCAATGTTATCTCTAGAAAATGCTGGTAGAAATGCATGAAAGGGTTCGAAATTGTCTTTAATTTTACACTACTAGTTTGGTAAAGTACAACTTCAGTGAAATAAATACACCACTAATTTCATGCGACACATGAAATAAATTCACCACTTAATTTAACTTAATATCACCATAGACCATGAAAAGCACCGGGGTATGAGGTTGAAATAAATGCATTATGAGAGGGAAAGGTAGGTAGCTTAGATAGTTAATTTAACACTAAATAAAAGAAACAAAAGACAGAACCATTCTAATTTGCTAATGATGATGGTATTTAAATTACATGCATGCAATACAGTGCACTTTTACTCCAATCCCATTATCACATCTCCACCCCAATACCTCTTTCGGCATTTATATAATGCATGCATTTCATGCTTCAAATAATACACATTAAATTTACCACTGCAACAATATATGCATGCATAAATGCTTTAATCTTTTGTTTTTGTTTGGGTAGGGGTATATGCTTGAATTTGCTTTAAAATATTTACTCTATAATAAAGGTACACAAGCATTTGGAAACTTTTTATCGGTATTACAAGCTTACAACACAAGAGAATCCCTAGGACAACATATATTTTCCCCACATTTGAACACCTTGAATCCCTAGGACAAATTAACAGCAAACAGAATGATAACAGGAGTATTTAGATCCAAGAACCCCACTTACCAGTCATAATGCGGGCAGCCAAACACCCACACCCACAAAAAAAAAAAATTAATAGTTTTTAGAAGGTTAACCAATCACCATTCAGGTACCACAGAAAGTAGACCCCACACACACTCCAAACACTCCAAAGTCATTATTAAGTCATTATTAATAACCAGATACACATGCATCTGCACTCCAAAGTCATTATTAATAATCGGATACAAAGGATAGAAACGTAGAGTTAATAAAATTAGCTAAAATCGCCAGAGGAATGAATTAATAAAATGGACAAACACTCCAAAGTCATTATTAATAACCAACTACAAAGGATAGAAACTTAGAATTAATAAAATTAGCCAAAATCCCAATGTATTTAATAATAACCGGTAATGTCTGTTTGGGCGCACTAATCACTTCAACGGACAGCTGCGGGCATTATGATGTGCATACTCGCCGCACACCCCGCACTTTCTGCTAGCCTTGTCACTCGTCTCAATAGCTAACTCGCGTTGGCTTTTAATTCGCTTGCCGGTCCCTTTGTTTTTTGCTTGAGCTGGCGGTTTGATAATTATGGACGTCGGCGGCTCCACACCGCACAAAGCTGCAATGGCAACACCGTTTCCTTTTGGGGGGTCAACGCCCATACCATCGCCGAGAAACTCGTCTCTCAATTCTTTTATTACCTGTAGCATTCGCGTTTGGCGCACTTTATTGCTTCCAACCATCACGGCACAATTGTGTATCTCAGTCCACAACTGGCTAGGCACAGTTTCTAAAGGAGGGCAGTCAGAACATCGAGCACACCAGCTAGCTAGTCCTTCTTGCTTACACCATCGTGCTGCGATGTACCGCGATTGCAAGCTCACCATTTCGGCATCTTTGAACACAAGAAACATATGCCGGCAAACAAACCCCAATCTTTCAAACAACTTGCAGCTACATTGATTGCTATAATCTGCAAGCGCACAGAGTCAATCACAATATAAATTCCTGGAGTATTCCAGGGTCGATCCCACGAAGAACACTATTAACTGTTATCTTAAATAATCAAATTGTTGATAAGGAAATTTGCAAATAAATAGAATTAATGTGATTAAAAGAATATTTATGAATTTAAAGCAAAGGGAAACTCCAATTGAGGGATTGGATTAGCCTATATTAGATTAATTGATTATTCTTCCTGATGTGTTGATTCTTCTAATTTCAAGCCGCCTTCGTACCCTGTTTTTTCTGCAAGTACGCTCAATTTCAAGATCAATAGGAAATAATTCCGCGTTTTTATGCCTTAGTGAACGCCTTAAGTTCATAAACAGAATAAAATAAAAATAGAAAAAAACAAAAACTTGATAAAAATAAGAATAAAAATAAAATAATAACAAACCTAACAACTAAAATAAATTTGAAAAGAAAAACTTAAAGAAAACAGTTTAATAAAAGTGTCCCCGGCAACGGCGCCAAAAACTAATTGAAATTAGAAGAATCAACACATCAGGAAGAATAATCAATTAATCTAATATAGGCTAATCCAAATCCCTAATTTAAATTCTAGCCAAAAATCATATTTGAATGTTCAAGAAATAACATTCTGGAAATTTTAACAAGAAATAAAAATAAGGATAAAGAGAAATAATTCAAGCCTAAGAAGATGATAGCTGCGATTGAAGCTCAAGAATCCCCTGCGATGAAGTCTCCTCGCCGAAGTCGACGCCGCTCCCAAGCTTTCGTACTCCTCTCTTCTTTTTTTCTTTCCGTCTGTCTTCTCTGCCGAACTGCCGTCTCTCCAATGATAAAAACCTAAATCTTAATCCCTTTATTTTTTCTTGTTTTTGTTTCTGCCGAACTTCAAGTTAAAAAAAGCAACCCAAATTAAATATATTTCATCCCTTTTAAAACTCTTTCTTTTCTTTTGTCTGCTGCGCAACATCCTCCAAAGAAATAAAATAAAATAAAATAAAGTAAAACCATCATAACCTAATGACATAATTTAATTAAACTTAATTATTAAAACACTTATTAAACAAATGAAGATATAGAACCACCAAATAAATACTATAGATAAAATAAAACTCTTATTTATATTAATAAAAATGCAATATTAGCCTAATATTTATTAAAACCCATCTAAACTAGTAACATATAACTAAATATAATATTTATTATAAAATCGACCCTAAAACTTAATTTAATTATTGAACTCACTAACTAAAATTACTCTAAATAATGTCTAGAAATTAAGCTTATCATACATGTCGCAATAGTCAAAGACGGGGTATAATCAACAGTATGGACAACGTTGTACTCCCCTCTAATGTCGTAACGGATGCACTCACCATCTGCATGGATCCCCACAACCCTGCAATAAAAACATGCAGCTTCGATCTCTACCTGGAGCTCATAAAACACTGTTAAGGTAAATACCTGCGCCGTGTGTCGCTCCAATGCTAAAGGAGTTTTGAAATCAGGCAAGGACCCCTCACTCTCAGCATTTAATTTACTTTGTCTGTGCCGTTGAGTTTCTAGGACGCTCTCAAATTGCACGTAGAACTCGACCAGACTACAATGTGGGCGTGTGTTTTTACCGTACGCACTGTTCTCCGCTTCTGAACGCGAGGTGGTACGTAGAACACCGCTCATGGGTAAATCTAAAAAATATGAAGGAATCCAAAACCTCTGGTCTGTGTATAATTTCGTAAACCATCGGTGCCCCGTTAAGTTGTACTTCTCCATTAACGACTGTCATTGCGTTTCAAAATCATCAATGCTAATGGTCTCATTCCACACAATGTTGTTAAGCTGGTTACGGAAATTCTGATCTTTTGATAGTTCGGCCCCTGACTTCTCACTCACTTTGGTCATGATATGCCACATGCAGTAACGGTGACGGCACTCTGGCAGTACTCGTGCAATAGCACTCTTCATAGCCGGATCTTCATCAGTTACGCACACAAGGGGCTCTTTCCCATTGTTGTTTTAAATCTCTCCAGGACCCACACGTATGAGTCAGTGTCTTCTCGAGTTACCAACCCGCCAGCAAACGTAATGCACCGTTTGTGATGGTCTACTCCGGTAAATGGTATGAACACCAAACTGTACCTGCAATACAACGAGTTCACACGTTAGCATGGTGGGAACAAATTTAGTGATTCGGATACCGCCCAATTCCCACTAACGTGTTACCAACGTGTACTTAACATGAACAATACAAAAATTCACAACAACAATATTAAGTTACTACTGCATTTCAGTATGATTAGCATGCACAGAATGAACGGTGTAACGTTGCCATACCTATTCGTACCATACGTTGCATCAAAAGAAATCACATCACCGAAACTCAAAAAATTTTGACGCCCGGTGTGGTCAGCCCAAAAAAGACGCGCAACATGGTTTCCTTCATCAAGATAGTAATCAAAGAAAAAGTTCTCACAGACGTCATGTTTTTGGTTAAACATTGCAATGATCATCTCTCCGTCCTTATCGGCAACGTATGACTGGAGGTCCCGTTTGAAATTATGGAACTCCGTTTCTGTTGCACCAACGTTGGCGAACGACCCCACCGATTCCTTGTATAACCGGAAGCCTTTAGACCCACCCACATTAACTTTAACACAATTCATAAGGAACGCTTGCTGGGCCACGTCCAGTTTTCTGTTGATTCGCATAAATAGTTTCGAAGGCTAGGAGCACATGCGGTGGGTGTGTTCGGGAACAAAAATACTGACAACGAAGCCCGCACCTTTGTCCTTTGTGATGCAGATTCGAGCATTGCAATTAACCCTGTTAGATACTCGTCTCCTACGTTGAGTGCTCGGACCACCACTGCCACCCTTTACTGGTTTTGGGGTGCTTCTACCGCCACCTTTTACGCCTTCTCGGTTGCATAACAAATAACGTGTTGTAACCTTGCCATCACGACCTCGCTTTAGTGTGCCATGCCTCACAGAGAAGCCACATGTTCTCGCATAGGTCATATAGAAATGCACCCCTTCTGCTATTGTGTTGAAACGGTAACCGACAGCTGGGGTAATTGCACTATCCACGGTAGGCCACCAATATTTGACTGGTATACTGATGTACCCACCCGTGCCCACACTCTCTTGCCCCCCCCCCCGTCAGCTGCGGGGAAAAAAAAAAGAATTATCAACACCCTAATATGCATACCAAAAATGTTAGTTTGAGCTATTATATTATAATAACTGTACCCAACCAGCAATAGAGTCAACATGTATCCCCAAAAAATAGACCAATTGTAGCAATACGCAGCCTGCCAAAAGGTTCAGAATATCCATTGCATGCTACCCGCCACAGTTTTCATTAAATTCATACTTCCCCATGACTTAATTAAGTAAAATCATAAATTTAAAGAATAAACCCCAAGCATACAAACAGTGGGGTGTGCGAGGTTTGCCTTAGATTCTATGAGATTTTACAGGCAACACAAACAGAGCAAAGGAGAAATGGAAACAAAAAGACAACACAACCAACAAACACTCAAAACTTAGATATCACTAATCACATTCCTTGAAATTTAACCCAAACATCAAACTGCTTTTTATTTCTTATTTAAATGTAACCACTGCAAAAGTGAAAAGTCTCTAAACATAGCATTTGACAAAATGTAAGCTTAATTAACTTCATTAAATTCTGACTGGCTTTTGGATGTCAAGATCAGAAGAAGAGTTCTGGCTCGTCGGTGGTTTGCCAGCGCATAGGGTATTGGTGCACCGGAAAAGGTTGTTGCTTGTCATCATGGTACTCTGTGAACATGGGGGACGTACCTGGTGGATTACCCGGAGGGGGTTGCAGCGGCGGCATGCCGTAGTCGCCGGTAGTCTCCGGTGCGGTGCTTAGATCTGAGCCGTTGATCAAATTTAGATCAACGGCTTAAATCAATGAAAATTAAAAAAAAAATAAAATACGCGCGTGTCTGGAAGAAAGAAGCACAAACTAAAATGCCGCACCTTAAGTGTTAGATCTTAAGCACAAACTCACGCACATTAAGTACAAAACCCACACACATTAAGCACAACCTCACGCACATTAAGCACAAAACCCACGCACTTTAAATATTAACTCACAAAATTTAAGTTTCAACAACTAGTGACATTAAGCACAAACTCACGAACATTTAGTACAAAAGCCACGCACATTATGCACAACCTCACGCACATTAAGCACAAAACCCACGCACTTTAAGTATTAACTCACACACCTTAAGTTTCAACAACTACTGACATTAATCACTGACTTTAAGTTTCAAGTGCGGGTATAGCTTCCCGTGCAGTTGTGCGGTTAGATCTGAGCCGTTGATCAAATTTAGATCAACGGCTTAAATAAATGAAAATTAAAAAAAAAATAAAATACGGGCGTGTCTGGAAGAAAGAAGCATAAACTAAAATGCCGCACCTTAAGTGTTAGATCTTAAGCACAAACTCACGCACATTAAGTACAAAACCCACACACATTAAGCACAACCTCACGCACATTAAGCACAAAACCCACGCACTTTAAATATTAACTCACAAAATTTAAGTTTCAACAACTAGTGACATTAAGCACAAACTCACGAACATTTAGTAAAAAACCCACGCACATTAAGCACAACCTCACGCACATTAAGCACAAAACCCATGCACTTTAAGTATTAACTCACACACCTTAAGTTTCAACAACTACTGACATTAAGCAAAAACCCTACGCACATTAAGCACAACTCGACTCACATTAAGAACATATCGCACCCACATTAAGCACCAAAGTCCACACTTTAAGTTTTAACAACTACTCACGTTAAGCACAACCCCACGCACATTAAGCACAAAACTCACGCACCTTACGCACAAACCTCACACATCTTATATACAAAACTCACATACATTAATCACAGATCCGCTCACCTTAATTTTGACCTAAATGCAAAAATTTTAAAAATTGCCACCGCGTTTTTTTTTTTTTTTTTTTTTTTTTTTTTTTTTTTTTTTTAATTTTGACAATCCTGGACGTTGATTTAAGCGAGATGAATGGCCCAGATTAAACCGCACAACCGCACCTGGGTACCCTAACCGCACCAGAACCTAATTATATATATATATATATATATATATATATATATATATATATATATATATATATATATATATATATATATATATATATATATATATATATAAAGTAAATAATAAATAATATACATATAATTTATACTGTATATAAAATCAAAATCCTCAACTTAACTTTCTGTCCAAAATTCTCAAATTTTAATATATTGTTTTCTACTTTCCTATTCGTACTATAATTCTTCATTACAATTCGCATTCTAATAATGTAAAATAGTGTAATACAATTTCTAATATAATATATTCTTTCCTACTTTTCTATCCGTACTATAGTTCTACATCAAAATTCCTATTATAATATTGTAACATAGTGTAATACAATTCCTAATAGAATATATTATTTTCTACTTTTCTATATTAAAATTCCTATCTGTAATACAATAGAACAATATTATAATACTCCATGCATGACAAATAAATCTGACAGTACAAATACTAGAAATAGGAAGTAACATATATTATAATTATTGTTAATTCTATCGTTATTATAACATATATATATATAACTTTTGAACATATGTCAGTCAGAAATGGATGATTGAGTATTAAAATAGTCAAACATATATTAGCAATAAAACAATATTAAAATTCATATTTTTATTCAACAATATTATATTATTCATTTTCCCGTTAAAAATTATATTCTCCATTATTAGTTTTATATTTCTTCGTTAATTCTCTGTCAAATTTACTAAATTTCAAATTCTCATTAAAACTCAACTGTCTGGCTAAATTATTAAGATTTAAATAAAAAATCCTTAAAAACATGCCTGCTTAATTCCCAATTAAAATCAAACTCAATCTCTCAACTCCATGTTGTACTCAAACACTCCTAAATCACCTATAAATATAGTCCAAAATCGTGCACTTCATCACCAAAACTAAAACAGATGATTGAGGAAGAGCAATTTTGAGCTTGGCTTTTCAATTTAGAGCATTCCATTCTATTAACTTTAGTTTCTATAAGTGAAGTAAGGATTACAAGTTCTTTGTTGGTGATTATGCAGTTTATGTTTTTTAATGTTGCAGTATAAAATGCTATATTAATGTTTTAGTTTCATTTTGTATTTATTTATTAATTGTTTTCTATTATAATTGCTTCTCTTGAATTTTCTCATATTGCAGAAAGTATTCTAACCAGGCATTGGTGATTATCATTCCAAATTTTATTGGGTAATAACAGATTAATAGTTTCAATATTTAAAAAAAAAATCTTATTTCAATCTGTAACTAATTTCTTTTATTATTACGTTGATGTTGAAGCATAGTGCTGGACTGAAGAATAAAGTTATGACTTAGAAGGGTTCGAGTATTGCGTAGTTTTTTCTTCTTTTATATTTATCACATTTTACAATAGGTTTCAAATATACAAATTGTAACACCCCCAAAACTTAAGCATAAAGTAAAGCATTCAACTTAGAAAATAAGTAAAAAGTCTAATTATCATGAAATAAAACTTCGCGGAAGCTAAACGGTTAAGTAAGGGAGTGCTATGCCACATCTAGGTCCTCTAAACCTAAATGCACAAGCTTAACAAAATCCACTATCCATAAGTCAAAGTATACCAAAATGGGCTCACATGCCACCAAAGACTAAATACAAATAAAAGAG